CCCAGGCACAGGTGATCACCCTCACCCCTCAGCAGGCCCAGACACTGGGGGTCACCCTCACCCCTCAGCAGGCCCAGGCACTGGGGATCACCCTCACCCCTGAGGAGGCCCAGGCACAGGGGGTCACCCTCACCCCTGAGGAGGCCCAGGCACTAGGGATCACCCTCCCCCCTCAGCAGGCACAGGCACTGGGGATCACCCTCCCCACTCAGCAGGCCCAGGCACAGGGGGTCACCCTCACCCCTGAGGAGGCCCAGGCACTGGGGATCACCCTCCCCCCTCAGCAGGCCCAGGCACTGGGGGTCACCCTCACCCCCAGGGAGGCCCAGGAAGAGGGGGTCATCCTCAGCCCTCAGCAGGCTCAGGCACGGGGGATCATCCTCACCCCTCAGCAGGCTCAGACACGGGGGGTCACTCTCACCCCTCAGCAGGCCCAGGCACTACAGGTCACTCTCACCCCTCAACAGGTTAAGGCACTGGGGATCAAAGTCACCCCTGAGAAGGCTCAGGTACAGGGGATCACTCTCACATCTCAGCAAGCTCAAGCATTGAGGGCTGTTCTTAATCTTAAACAGGCCCCCAAATTGCAGATCCCTTTCACACCTAAGCAGGCACAGGCATTAAAGCCTCTCACTCTGGAACAAGCCCAGATATTAAGGGTTCCTATCACCCCTAAACAGACTCAGACATTAAAGACATCTCTCACTTCAGAACAGGTCCATGCAATGCAGATCCCTCCAACTGAAGAACCAGATCAGAGATTTAGGGCCCCTATAACCCATGGACAGGTCCAAACAGAGAGGATTACTCTCACACCACAGCAGACCCAGGCTTTGGGGATCACCCTCACCCCTGAGCAAGTCTATGGCCTGGGGCTTCCTCTCACTCCTGAACAAGCTCAGTCACAGTGGGTCCCTTTCAGCTCTGAGCAGGCCCAGGCGTTACAGGTACCTCTCACTAAAGAGCAAGCTGATAAATTGGGAGTCCCTGTCACTCCAGAAAATGTTCAAGCAATACCAAAGACACTTATTCTTAAGCAGACCCATGGTCTGGAGGTCACTCCCTCCCCCAAACAGGCCCAGGAAACAGGGGTTTCATTAACTTCAGAAGCTCCTCTCAGTATAAGACAGGCCCAAGAATTGGGAGTCCCCAGTAGCCCAGAAAGTGCCAGGGTGTCAGCTGTCACTCCTACCCTCAAGCAGGCCCAAACCTTAGGGCCCCCTCTTACCTTAGCACAAGCTCAAGTATTGGGAGTTCCTCTTACTCCAGAGCAGTTCAGGAAATTAGGAGTCCCTGTCACCTTAGATAAAGCCCATGTCTTGGGATCTCCCCTTACCCCTGAGCAAGTTCAATCTTTGGGGGTCCCCATCACCCTAGGACAGGCCCAGCCAGTGGATATTACCCTCATGCCTAAGCAGGACCTAAAATCAAGAGCTCCCTTCACTGGTGAGCAGCCCTCGCAACTCTGGACTGGTCCTCCTTCAGAACGTACCCCAGAACTTGGGATTTCTTCTGTTACTGATCAATCCTTCACACCAAGTGCTCCTCACATTCCTAAGCAGTTCCCTACACTGGCTCCTTCTACTCTTAGACCATTTCAAGAATTAGAGGCTTCTCTCTTCCCTGAGCAATCCTTTACATCAAGATTTTCTCCAAGTTCTCGCCAGCTCCTGGCATCATCTCCTATTTCTGAGACATGTTCTACATTTGGGGTCTCTCCTCTGCAAATACCAACGTCTTCTCTCACCCAATCCCCCTTCAGCCTTGGGACATCCCCAGTGATGGGGATTGCTTCTGACCCTGAGAAGTTACTGGCACCACAGACCCTTCCTTCCTCTAGGGGTCCACCCACCCCTCGGCATCTCCTAGCACCAGAAATCCCTCCTACCCCTAGTCAGCTCTTCATATCTAAGGGCCCTCTCACTCCCGAGTCACCCCTGATATTAAAGTCTTCTCTCACCCCCAGGCAGCCTCTCCTACCTGGAGTCTCACCCACCTCTGGGCAAATCCCCAGTCTCTCTCTTGGGCAGCCTTTGGTATCTGGGACCTCTTCCATCCCTGGAAAGCTGCTGGAATCCAGACCCTTTACCCTCCCTGAGCAGCCCCAGGTATCCCAGACCCCTCTCTGGGGCCCTTCTACCCTTGGGCAGGATCTAGCACCATGGATACTTCCAGGGCAACCTTCCCCATTATGGGTCCCTCCCACCCCTGAGAAGCCCCCCACATTATGGGCTCTTCCAACTCCTGGAAAACCCCAGAAAGACTTAACCTCTGCTGTCTCTAAGAAAAGAAAGGAAGGATTAGAAGTTATTTCTTCTCTGAAATCAGCATTTGTCCCTCCCAGTGCTCCAAAGTTCAAGGCACAAGCCCCTCTCACCACTAAGAAGCGTCAAACGTCAGAAGTCTCTGGCACTTCTGAAGAAACCCAGATGCTCCGAGATCCTTTTGCCATGGAACAATCTAGAACCGTTCAGCCCTATCTCACCGATTACACAAGGACACCAATTTCACAAACCCCTTACATTGACGAGGAGGCCCTTTCTACTCTTGTGAAGCCTTTAACACCACTACCTTCTCTTGTTACTCAACAACTCAAAACATCAGAGGCCTCACTTTCTGAATGGGACCAGAAATCCAGATTCCCTCCTATAGACAAGTCCTGGATACTGACCTCTGTTTCAGCCATCAAGAGACCCAAGATGATCGTGCCACCTTCCTCTCCTCAAGAGCTCGAAGAGGAAGAGAAGAAGTACTTTGTTGATGTGGAGGCTCAGAGGAAGAACCTGGTACTCCTAAGTCAGGCCACAAAAATTTCTGGATTCCCTTCACAGCTACATGCAACAGCTAGGAAGCTCATAATTGAGACACTTCATACAGACACAGTTCGACTGGGATATCTATTCCGCAAGTACATTGCTTATAGGCTGATCCAGCGTGCCAGGTAGCTGTAACTATTGTCTGTCCAGTTTTCTAGTATAGTCCTAATTTCAACTATCTTCCCTCATTGCCCTATAACTATACTTGTCAGATCACATGTTTTCAAACATTCTCTTGTAGATCTGTGCATGGAAGCCAGTTTCAGATAGCAAAAGTACATGTATCTTTTAAGAAATAAGAAATGCTATATAACTTGATCCATTTCATCTATTTATATCTTTAGCAGAGATGCTAAGGTATAGTTTGTGGATCATGGTTGATCTCTAAAACATCAAAAGTTTATGGAGATCCTTGCCAGTTATTCTGAATGTTTTTTATCATCTTGGGTTCACCAAAGCATGTATGGTTCTTCAAATGGGTGATGGAAGGTTATGAAAACTTTGCTGCTTGGGTGACCTGGTGGAGCAGGTCCTGGTCCTGATTTTTTTTAAATGCAAATATCAGAAATGGGTCAGGACAAGTGACAATTAGCCTGTCATCCTTAGCATTTGTGTTTCAGGTTACTATCTAAGGGAAATTCTTTAACATAAAATTACAAATGACAAATTAAAATGTATTACTAGAAAAGGCTATCATTAATTATAGGAGCAACTTATTCAATATTTATTGAATGTCTATTATGTGCCAAGTGTTATTCTAAGTGCTAGGGATACAGCTGTGAATAAAATAGGCAAATACCTCTGTTTCCATGAAATTTTAAATTTTTGTAAACTGAATTCACTAGGGAATTAGAGATAGGAATGACAAGGCAAAAGGAAGAAATTTTCTAAGTTATAATCAGACCTTAATTTCAAAACTTAGGTCATCTGGAATTTGTTTTTACTTTATACTTGTCTTTAGTTTTCTCTTTCTACGCTGACTAGTCCCACTCTATTTTATTTTATTTTTTTAACTTTTTATTGTGATTTGAGTGAAAGTTTACAGAGAAACGTCATTTTCCATTCAATAGTTCAGGAGCTCTGGTAGAGTAGTGCCTAAAGCACTTAACTGCTAACTAGAAGACTTGCAGTTCAAACCCACCAGCCACTCCTCAGAAGGAAGGTTGGGCAATCTACTTCCATAGTGATACTGCCTTGGAAACCCAAGGAGGGGTCGCTATGAGTCGGGTTCGACTGCACACATGTAACAACATTCAATAGTTCACACACATTTTGTTTCCCAACATTGATTACAATCCCCACAATATAACAACTCTCTTCTAACTTCCTCCCTGTGATTACCTTTTCCCTGTGTCCTTCTTTGCTATGCATTCCTGCCCTCTGAGCTATCTCCTGGGCAAATGCTGCCCTTCTGATCTCATGGTGGATTGTTCTAAGGAAAGTACCTACCTACCTACCTACCTAACTCATTGCTGTCGAGTCGGTCCCAACTCACAGCGAACTTTTCTTGGGTTTCTGAGGCGGTATCTCTTCCTTCTGAGGAGTGGCTGGTGGGTTTGAACTGCCAGCGTTCATCTTATATGCCTATTGTTTGGCTGGAAGCCACAGGAATGAGTTCAATTCCAGGCCCAAAGTAGTCCCACTCTTTTAAACCTGTTTTTACATGTAAACACTTTCATTCATTTAAGGATTTTAAATACCAAATTTCTGCTCATTCTCCAGTCCCTTTATATATATATATATTTTTTTTTTTTTTTAAATAATAATATTATGTTTTCAGTAAAAGTTCACACAGGAAATTGGGTTCTCATTTGACAATTTCTACACAAATTGTTCAGTGACATTAGTTACATTTTTCATAATGTGTCAACATTTCCTTCTATCCTTTTCATTTTGATAATTTTAAATAAATAAAAAAGCAGTACAGTCACAGAATACAATATCAAAAATATACAGGTCGGAGAATGGAAAGTCTCACTAACACCCCTAACCCCAGCATCCAGGCCCTTCCTGTAGGGCTACTAATGTATGTCCATCCAGAAATGTTTTTCACATATGTAGGAAGGTACACTCTTTTATTCCCTCTTAACATATTTTAAACAATTATGACTTTTTATTTTTTCATAATATAAGTTAGATATGAGGTACTAGATAATTTAGGTATTAGTAGACAAAGAGCTTGCGTAAGCTCATTTTATAGCAGCATAATATTCCAAAGTCTGGATTTACTAGAATTTATTTAACCTCTGATAGACATTTATGTTGTTCTTAATATTGTGCTATTATAAAAATAGCTGCAATGAATAATCATGTATATACATCATCTTACATATGTGTGGAAGATGGATTTGAGAGTAAATTTCCCACAGAGGCATAAGTTAAGACCAGATAGTATCCACCTAACAGGTTTTTTTTCCAACATTTCGTGTACATTTAGTTTCACTCTCCATTTACCATCCCCAACCCTAACCTAGTCTCCTCCCCTTCCTGCCCAGTAACACCTAACAGTTTTGAAGGAATATAAAGGCGAGAACAGTAAATTACTATTAAAAATATTTCCTCTTGTCTGTAAGAGGGTCTATCCCAGGGTTGTCAATCTGTTAATACTAATAGCTTACAAAAAACAGACCAAACCTACTGCCATCAAGTCAATTTTGACTCTTAGAGACCCTATAGGACAGAGTAGAATGCCCTACATAGGGTTTCCAAGGCTATAGAGCTTTACAGAAGTAGATTGCCTCATCGTCATCCTACGGAGCAGCTGGTGGGTTCAAACTGCTGACCTTCTGGTTAGCAGCTAAATGCCTTAACAACTGCACCACCGGGGCCTTATTACCAGCTTAATTCCTGTTAAAGAAGGGTATCCATATCAGGCAAGCTAGTGGAGTCTATAATAAAAAAGAAAAGACTGAAAACTGAGACTGAAGGAAACAAATTTTGTAGGAGAATCAAATTTACCTAATCTAGAATACTTTGAGGAGACGATTGCATGGGCAGTGAGACATTAAATGAAAATAAATTATTTAAAGTTGACTATGCACATAACGACAACAACAACAACAACATGCAATACATATACGAGATGGGCTGACGCAGTGGCTGACACAATGGGCTCAGGTATAGCAAGGATTGTGAGGCTCGTGCAGGACTGGGCAGTGTTTCGTTCTACGTAGGGTCTATGTTTCATACTACGTAGGGCTGCTATGAGTCGGAGCCAACTGGAAGGCACCCAACAACATCAACATGCATATACAGGGGGTACAGCATATCTACAAAGAATAGAAACTTTAGATAGAGAATTTTAAATAATGGGATACCCCATGATGGCTACAGGACTGTGTGTTCAGATTGTTAAAATGAATTGCCTCTAGAATACACGAACAATAAAATCTCTAAGTTTGAAATGAAATCATAAACTTTTCTAAATAGTGAAAGAATGTGAGGAAAATGTCAAAAGATTGTATGAATAGACAGAAAAATGGCAGTGAAGATTTGGTGTGAAAATGACACTTATTAGAAAATTCTGTAAATTAATATATTTAAGTACTAAATTATCCATATATACAGTAAGTTTTAAGCTATTAATTATAACCCATGAAAGAGACAAAACAGTTATTCTCATAGCGACCCCTCCTTGGGTTTCCGAGGCAGTATCTCTATGGAAATAGATTGCCCAATCTTCCTTCTGAGGAGTGGCTGGTGGTTTTGAACTGCCAGCCTTCCAGTTAGCAGTCAAATGCCTTAGTCACTACGCCACCAGAGCTCCTATACATATAT